GACGCAGGGGACAGCATCACACATGGTACACGGAGGCAGTGTCATGTCCAGCAGGCCCTCCTGGCGACGCAGGGGACAGCATCACACATGGTACACGGAGGCAGTGTCATGTCCAGGAGGCCCTCCTGGCGACGCAGGGGACAGCATCACACATGGTACACGGAGGCAGTGTCATGTCCAACAGCAGGCCCCTCCTGGCGACGCAGGGACAAGCATCACACATGTATACGGAGGCAGTGTCATGTCCAGCAGGCCCTCCGAGAGAACGATATTTCACATAGACAACCTCATAGAGAGTCCGGCAATATGTTGGACACCTGTCATCAGCCCTTAAATCCACGGTTCTTTTTCGCCAGGCCACGGGAAGAGCAGACGGATACAACCAAGTTCCATGGGAAGCCCGTTTGAAACGGATGTGGAGTCCCGCGAAATCGGCAACACCCTCTCCACTTCGCAGAACTCCTGCAACACGTAATTGCAGGTGGTGATGCGGTACCACCACAACACCGGGGGTGCGGGCAACGATGTCGGTTTGTCGCCTGAGACGTTCACGTCAGGCCAGCGCTGGAGAGCGGCAGGCAGCATCCAGTCTGATCCCGGGCCGGACCCTCAACCTAGGATAGCCTGTCAACCGGCTGGAGAGGTATGGCAGATATTGGTTCGCCCACCGAGCTCATTCTGACGCTGGGGTGTCAAGATCCTTCAGTCCAGGCATCTACCTGGCACGTGCGGAGTGCGACTGTGCGGGGGTACGACCTCACCACCCATGTCCTACACCAACACCCTAGTACTGCCACGATATCGTTCAAGTTCTGTAATTCTGCATCAGTAGTGGCCTGGTACTGATGGTGTAGCTCACAGTTCTTCCCAGGTACTGGCCTGGTACTAACCTGGCACTAGTATCGCCCGTGACAGCGGCGTCCTTCCCGAGCGCTGACGGCGCCCTGCCTGGGTACCGCCCTGGTAACGGCCACGCGTTGACCTGTTACCGATGATGTACTCTCCTGGGACAGGGCCGTTAGCGGGCTGGTGACGCTGGTTCTGCTCTAGCTCTGCCCTGACACTGCACGGTCAGCCGGCTGGTGACGCTGGTGCTACTCTGGTACTGAGCAGCCAGTCGGCTGGTGATGCCGGTTCTGCTCTGGCTCTGCCCTGACACTGCACCGTCAGCCGGCTGGTGACGCTGGTGCTGCTCTGGTACTGGGCAGCCAGTCGGCTGGTGACGCTGGCTCTGCCTTGACCCTGACCTGGCACTGGCGCTGAATCGTCAGTCGGCTGCTAACGCTGGTTCTGCCCTGGCACTAACCTGGTACTGGGCCGTTAGCCGGCTGGTGACGCTAGTGACGGCGGCGTACTCGTTGTCGGCGCGCCTTGACACGGTCAGCTGCAGTCCGCTGATGACGCCGGCCTCTAGCGCCGACACGGCCACGCGGTCGGCGGCCACGCGGAACTCCCGGCTGGCCACCTCAGCCCCGGTGATGGGTGACAACAGCTGCCGACAAGACCCAGTATGGTTCAGGACGGGACCCAAGGGTGACAGTTCTCTCACAGAGATTAGAGAGACCAAGCAAAGACGCCAGACTGGCCCCCAACTCGCTGGCAAGGGAGGCAAGAGGGTCGCTTGAGGCATCAGTGCTCTTAACCGGACACACGTCGGTCGGTTACCCAAGGAACAGCTCAGAGGAGTCCCTCCGTGGACCTCAGGGCGCGTTGCTCCACTGTGACTATAAAACCACTGCGCGTCTTCCAAACCACTGCCGACTTCCATTCGAGCACAATCCAACAATCCACCAAGTGCCTCCGGCAACTCGCAGAGTTAGTTGAGCACAAAACCGCGGAAACCCGCTTACAAGCCACTGAGCACGCTCTTAAGTCGGCGAGGTTTCCATATGCCTACTCGGGCTAATCGCCGTCCCCATCGGCCTAGAAGGGCGACCAGCACGGGAGGTCAACTGACGGGGAGGGGCTGCTTTGGGTCACGCGGCCGGAGGCGCCAGATCGGCGGGCGCCGCTGATGTGGGGCTCCCGTCGATGTCGGGAGCGGAGACGCTTGATTCGGCAAGCTGTGGCAGCTGCTGCCTCCCAGCAGCCGTGTCAGGGGCACTTCGTCGCAGTTTGACAAAAGTGATGACGTCAAACGACGATTTCCGAAAACGCCTCGATCTTTGCTTTTCCTGAGCCGACGCCGCGGCGCTGCAAGCCTGCAAGAATTTATCTGAAATCCACTTACAGATACCCTGAAGTCAGCCGGTCACATCCCGTTCGGCTGATCTCCATCCGTCCAGTAAATCAGGCTTAAGTAAATTACCTGTCGTAAATCTGTGAAGCCTGCCCATCCACTCCCTTTAAGTGCCTTTTGGGAACTCATTGACTTACAAGGACTTTTGCATGGACTCACGATCTACTCTGTGACTGCAGGCCTGAGATCAATAATACAAGCCTTCAACTCCGGCCATAGCGTCGCTATCAGCTGCTGTCTGGCCAGTTCAGACATACCGGATTCTCACGAATCCCGCCGGTGACAGCCCGACGTGTACCTCTGACGTGCCGCCGTGGGCTTAGCTCCCAACAACAGGAAAACTGGCACGGATCTGCGATCATGAATGAGCCGAGGGAAGACGCGGCAGAGGCACCGTGACCCTGGAGCGGACGCTGCACACTTTGCCAGTCCTCAGGAATGTTTGCCACGACATGCACTACAAGCGTAACCCTGAGTTTGGAGGCGCTAGGAACGCGGCCGGTGGACGGCGCCGGCCTCTGTCCGTCAGCACGGCGCCGCCTGGAGACCTGCCAGCCACGGCCCGGCTCTGGCTCCGGCTCCGGCTCCGCACTCACGACTGCTGCTCCTCTGCCGGGACCGTCCCGCGGGACCGCACGGGATGGGCGAGACGACGCCAGAGAGGGGAGGTGAGGGGACGCGGCGGCCATGTCGCAAATGTGTTATAGATTGGCGGGGTTCACCTACCCACCATCCATTGCAACGTTTCCACTCATTGCGGTTATTGATACCCACCCGATATTGGAGCTATTGCGATGTGAAATATACGCAACGAGTGTGCTGTATTAAAAAACAACAACAAAGCGCGACGCTTAACACTTAAAAGGAACGTGCTCGCGACAACAGAGATGGCACTGCCCGCAACGTTCGCGGATGTCCCGCGCAGAACATCCGTCCGTCTACCGACCCGGCGGCCTCTCGGCGGGAGCCTGGCTTCAGACAGGACCTGCGCCGGCTCTCTGTGCCCCGCCGCACCGCTGGCCACTCGGATAGACGGGCAGAGAGAGCGCGCCGAGTGCCGCCGCTGCGACAGAAGCGCAAAAACCGCTGCAGCATTGCGTCGGCGGCCGCTGCGGGGGTGAAGGTGGGGGTGGGGCGGGCCAGCTGCCTGTCCGGCGCGCTAGGCCGGTCAGAGTCGTGCTGGTGCAGACGTGTTTGCCCGACGTCAACAGGGCCGATCACAGGCACGTGACCGGCAACATGATCCGCCAGTCGGGGCTGACTAGCCGGCTCACTCAGCGCTCAACTATCCGAAACACGCGAAACATTGTTTGAGTAATGTCGGAGCCTACGGATGGCCTCCGCGGACCGCTAGAGCCGGATCAGCGCCGCCATAGACCCCGTTCTGGACAGGAAGCTTGCGACACACGCCCGTCCGCTGCGGTGGCCCGTTCTCTGCGCCATCCGCCGCATCTGCAGAACAATACCGGCGCACGGAGTGGGCGGCGCGGCGCGCAGGTCGGGTGGGCTCGGCGCCGCCCGTCGCAGGCGGCCGCCGCCTCCCAGGGCGCTCCGGCTCATAACCGGCTAACCCACACCGGCTGTCCCCGGCGTATGTGGCGCGATCAATCGCGATCAATCCTCGCCGCCGGCTGTCGTGCGCCGACCGGTGCGTCGGCCGCGCAGAGCGGGGCCGGGCCGGCTCGCGCTGACCTTTTCCGCGGCAAGCGCCGTCCGAGCCGCTGCCCGGCACCGGCCACTCTCCGGCGTCCGGTTCAATCAGCGCCCGACGATTAATGACGCGGCCACGCGCCGCGGCCAATCAACTGGCGACGATTAATGGCGCACCGGGTGACTTTGCCTTCTGGCCTGAGGACGCCGCTAAGCGCAAAAGAGGAGCTCCGACCCGCCCACTTCCTGTCTCCGACCTCCCCCCCCCCTCCCCGCTCCCCCCGCATTTGGAGCCTGGCAGGTCTGGCACCGAAGCGGACGCCGGGCGTTTGTCCACGCCTGCCATGTGGTCCATGTCCGCTGCGCGAGCCGGCCCACACACGGCCGCCGGCGCAGACAGGGCGTCCGCTGTCTGCCGACACGGCGACCACCGCGGTCTGGCCGGCGACGGCACCGCGTCAGCATCCGAGGCCTGGGGGGGGGGGGAGGGGGCCTGGAGCCAGCCTGGTGAGGCTGGCCGGCGGCGCCTGTGCAGTCCGTGCCTCCCGCCCACAGGTGTATTTGACGGCAGCGGGCCGTGTATTTGCGGAACGGAAGTTTACGGCGATGCAGAGCAGATTAGCCGGCCGCCATTTCCGCAGATGAACTGCCCTGCGCCGCGCCGACCAAAACACGGAACCTGTGACCGGCGGTCTCATGGAGACCGCGACAGACGGTCCCAGGGAGACTGTGACAGGCTGTCCCTAGGAGAGCTGTGACAGGTTGTCCCCAGCTGCCTGTGACAGGCTGTCCCCAGGGAGACTGTGACCAGCGGTTCCAGGGAGACTGTGACCAGCGGTCCTGAGGAGACTGTCGCGGACTATCCAAAGGAGACTGTTGCAAACTATCCAAAGGAGACTGTGACAGACGCTTTCAGGGAGACTGTGGCAGACGGTCCCGAGCAGGCTGTGACAAATGGTCCCAAGGAGACTATGTCAGGTTGCCCTAGGGAGACTGTGACAGGCTGTCCAGGGGAGATTGTGACAGACGGTCCCAAGGGAGACTGTGACAGCGGTCCCGGGGAGACTGTGACAGGCGGGTCCCAATGAGGCTGTGACAGGCCGCCCATGACAGACTGTGACAGGGCGCCCCAGACGGACTGTGACAGGGCGCCCCAGACCGACAGACTGTGACAGGCCGCCCCAGACAGACTGTGACAGGCCACCCCAGACAGACCGTGACAGGCCGCCTCAGACAGACTGTGACAAGGCGCCCCAGACAGAACTGTGACAGGGCGCCCCAGGCAGAACCGTGAATGACGATCTCCAGGTGGCCTTACCTTCGAGCCATGGACTGCGCCGCCCGCGGTAAACGGAGGCAACGTTTGTTGGTTTTCACACCACGAGCGTGCAGGCTCGTGGAGCTTATCTGGGAACCTGCTGAAAGCCTCAGCTGCCTGGCAACCTCAATAATAAGCTCCAAAAGGCTTTCGAAGAATTGAACTGGTTTCCGTCCAATGGGAGTGTGGGTTTTTCAAGCAACCACGCGATAGCTTTCACACATGCATGCAATTACAGGGAGCGCCTGGGTGAACTGGCAACCGGCTGCAAAATACGGTGAATGGCTTTCATCACCAGCAGATGTACACATCATACGCGGTAACCCAAGCCAGGTCGATGGCGTTTCATTTGGAGAGTGTGGCTAGTGCTTCCTGAGCCGCAGCACAGCGCCGGTTCGCCATTACAAGGACCGGCTGAGCCTTCTCCATGCCCGGCTAAGCTCCCCGCAGGCCAGGCGCGCAGAGCCGGGCGCTAAAAAACAGATGCGTCCTCCGTCGGCCGTCGGCGGTGGAGGCCGCCGATTCCGCCTGAACGCCGCCCCGACAGAAGAACAGGTCAGATCGACTTTCGTTCTCTCACTTACAGGGCAGGTCGGTGCCAGGGTCGGTGCCACCCATGGGTGTAAATGTGTGTTTGTTTTTTTTTGTCCTAAATCCACCACATGATTTCATATACAGCACACATTTACATCACAGCGTGGGAGTTGAACACATCCAGAGCTATAAATCCTGCTCCCAAAGACCCGAAATGCTTCTAAGTTTACGTCTGTTCACACATGCCATGTCACAACCAACGGGCGTAAATATACATTTGTCGTTGTTTTTCTGTTAACAGTAGGAGCAACCAATATCCTTTCTCTTCCCTCGTCACAGAAACGTTTACCGTATATTTCCTACCCAAATGTTTAGAAAACAGACTGTTTCCAAAATACCGTTTTGTGCCCCTCCCTCTCATCCTGAATCACCCTCCCCCCCCCCCCCCCTCCCCGTCCTTCCGTCACCAGGACGATGTTCCATTCATAGTTCGACCTGAGGGATGGCTCAGACCCCCTCGCAGTTTCACTTGAGAAGCAATTTAGACCGTCGTCTCTAACCACGAGAAGAGCAGCTTAGGCCGACTGATTCCCCGTCAGGGGAATACGAGCGACTAAACCCGTCCCTTCCCAACAGCTCAGACCCGCCACTCCTCAGCGGTGGAACAGCTCAGGCCCGCCACTGCTCAGCGGTGGAACAGCTCAGGCCCGCCACTCCCCCCCCCCCCCCCCCCCCTCCCCCGGCAGTGGAGCTGCTCACAGGGCAGCCGAGGCCGCGGTCCGTGGCCTCGGTCGGACACAGGCCGTTTACACGGCGACCGACCCGGGACGGTGGCCGCCTGCCAGGGGACCGGCAGCTGCCAGCTCCGCCGCGGCCGCCGCGCCAGCCGGGGTCACGGCACTGCGCCACGGGCCACGACAGAGCGGGCGGTGCGCCGAGGCACGTACACCCGGCCGGGACAGGGTGGGCGCTACACCGGAACACAGGCCAACCGCAGCGCCATCTAGCGCACCTGTACCGAGCCGAAGCACCTTTGAGGAAGGGGATTAGTGCCCACAGCAGAGGCGTCAGCAATTACTGCCATTGTTACCGTAAAAAAGAAACGAAACAACGCTGAACGCATGATGTGCTGGACAGGTGTCCCGAGGAATTAACTCTACAAATAATTCCACGGAACGTTGTAATGAACTAATGCGGCGCGAGTACATGGTATGCGTACATTACGCAGCTTGTGATTATCGTCTCTGATCTTACTTCAGCTGCAGAAAGTCATCGTTAGCACAGATGAGCACCACAGCGACCCAAGCCGGCAGGTGTCGCGCTGTTCTTATGCATCTGTGACCGGATCATGCCCAACAGCGTAGGAATTGATCGATTAGCTGTTCAAGCGCATGGCCAAGGAATCAGTGCGGAGATCCGTGTGCACGGACACGGGGCAGTCTGGTGCTTATGCGGTGCTCTTTAGACGACATCCCTTCGCTTCCAACAGATCAGATCATCCAACGGCGTTACTTTATATGCTTCTGGGGGACTGAACGCTCCTCCTCCCAATCCTCCTCTGTGTGCTCCCCTGAGCCCGAATGCTGAGCCAAGGAAATGCAAAAAATGTGATAGGGGCGGCCGTGGGCGGTAAAGGTACCGGTCGGCGGTAAATCTTCCACCTGATTGCATCACAAAAATAGTGAAAAAGAATAGACACATTTTGTGTGGCGTGTTCCAGAGTGTAAGTAATATTGGCCTGGTGTTAATTGATTTTAGCGAAGAGCCCTGAACATGAACGCTTACCTGATTGATAAGGTCGTTTAACCAATGTATACCTCTTCACAAACTAAATGTCCATTGTGTTCTGCAAACTTCCAACTCATAATACCAAAGTATCAGGAGTGCATGATCTTTCTTGCTGTCATGGACTTCAAACTCATATAAAAGCGCTGACCGCGCTGTTTTTTAAGACGGGTTTTCTGTTGACCCGTCTGGTCACGAGCCTTTACCTACCGTGCCCTTTTAGATGAAGGTACTTCCAGACAGTGCACATGATGCGTTTCTCATAGCTTCTCCGCCGAAGATGTACCATGTGTACATGTTCACAAAGCTGTATTTTCACATGGGCTCGAATTGGAAAGTCGTTTTTCTTTAAAGCAATCCTTAATCAGTTTTATTTTTTGTTGTAAATCTTAGTCAGCATGACAGCATGACAGCAAATTCAAGAGGTCGAAATTCGAGGAGAATTCAGGTCCTGGGGACAGGCCAGCTCAACCTTATCGACTAAGCTTTTGATCGACTTTAGAAAGCGACAACCTGATATCATCTTTATTCCGCCCAGAGAAAAGAAGCTCCGTTTGGTAGACGCGGAACAAAGCTCCAAAGATAAACAGACGCAAGCGCACATTTCGTGATCGTACTTTCCGTGCAGCACAATCACTCAGGCTGTCTTGTCAGTCACTGTCAGTTCAGTCAGTTTTGCAGCCACGTGGCCTTGTTGAGAACGGAGCTTTAAGAATACTTAAGCTGGACCCATATCACATGCCACATAATGCCGCCGGTTGCAAGAAACCATCGAGAGCATGCAATCAATCTGCCCGGACTCGATTTAACGCTGCTGGGAAAATGTTCAGGAAGTAAGCCCTGAGATACCGCGACGTCGCAGTCATCCGGGCGCGCGGTCATGGCGATTCACACAAACCGCTGAGTGTCAGCCCACGCCTTCTGGAGACCAAGCGATTCGCACAAGCAGCGGCTAACTGCGTGACCCTGCAGCCCTCGATGTGGAAAGTGCCTCTCTGATGCCCACACAGAGTGGGGGGAGGGGCGTCCAGGGGGTGCCGGTGGAGAGGAGGCAATAGATGCGCGCTGGTGGATGGGCACTGGTCGACGAACGCCGTGGGGGGGGGGGAGAGGGATGGAAGAGGAGCGGTAGAAGAGCGGCGGCGGGTCGCTGACGGTGGAAGTGGCTGATGACCGGCTGATGGGAGAGCAGCGGTGGATGACCGACTGATGGAAGGACAGCGTTGGATGAGCGGCGGTGGGTCAGTGGCGGGCGAGGTGGCTGGTGGCCGACTGATAGACGAGCAGCAGCGGATGGGCGGCGGCTGAGCGTGAAAGACTGCTGCAGGAAGAGCGGTGAGAGCGATGGGAGAGCGGTGCAGGACTAATGGAAGAGCAGCGGCGGCGGATGAGTGTCAGACGGTGCGGAGCTGGAGCACGCCCCGGCAAACAGATGGCGTTTGTCGGCAGCGGCCGCGCCGAACAACGCCACTGGCCATCCGGCCGCCCAAAGCCCATCGCCGGCCAAATGGAGACGCATAACTTATCGGGCCGCCGCGGCGCTGCGCTGAAGCCCGGGGCCCGCGGGGACGGGGCTCTGATTGGCCCGCTCGCCCTGGCGCCACCCACTGTCAGCACTGGCAAACGCACGGCTGTCCACCGCACCCTTCACGGTCGCCAGCTCCGGAACAGGGCACGCTCAGAGCCTCCGTCCGAGGGGCGACTGGCCTGTCCGCGGCCCCCTTTACGGTCGCCAGGCTCCGGGACAAGGCACGCTCAGAGCCTCCGTCCGGGGGGCGACTGGCCTGTCCGCGGCCCCCTTTGCGGTCGCCAGCTCCGGGACAGGGCACGCTCAGAGCCTCCGTCCGAGGGGCGACTGGCCTGTCCGCGGCCCCCTTTACGGTCGCCAGCTCCGGGACAGGGCACGCTCAGAGCCTCCGTCCGAGGGGCGACTGGCCTGTCCGCGGCCCCTTCGCGGTCGCCAGCTCCGGGACAGTGGCACGTTCAAGACCTCCATGTGAGACGGGCGTCTGCCTTGCCAGTGGACCCCGTCTGCCCCGGACAGGGTGTGCTCCGGATCGGTGTAGGAGGGGGGCAGACATGTTTTCCACAGAGCAGTAATGAATAACGTAACAAATGGTCATCTTTCCGCTGGACGCACCCAGCAAGTTTGCACGCCTCGTGTGCAGGCGAATTGATTAGTCTCAGTGCCAGTGCTAGGCATCCTCTTGCAGTGGTTGAAGGTGCGCCTGAACCATTCTCATTGCTGAAGAAAACTGTATAAGCCTTATCATGTTTGCACGTTCCGAAAGGCCTCTAGGGTCACCCTTGTCGTGAATGAAGTGGTCCTTTCCACTACCTGCCAAAACGGAAGCAATTCGAAGCCATGCCGGCAGCACGGAATCACCTGAACTTTGGTGCGTCCCTGGGCCTTGCCCACCAGCAGGTTGCCTCGGAGCGTGGCAAACTGAGGGTCAGCGACCCGGAGATGACCTCTGACCAGGTCAGTGACGCGCAGCGACGTCTTCCTTCCTGCCACATACGAGACGCGGCCGGAGTTGTCATCTCGGGAGACGAACTTGGCGTACACCTGAAGAGGGAAGTCGAGCGTGAATCTCCTGCTGCATAATGAAACGACCTGCAGGACAATGGTGGCTGTACCTGCTGACAAAGAAAGCGTGCCTTTTCGCGTGACTGCTAGACATCTCACTGCATGCAACTCCCATTCACTTGTCCGAACGAAAAAAGAGAAACTCTAGACAAGAACAATAGGAACATTTCCGTGCTCGTAAGCCGGAACATTTCACATCCGACTACAGACCAGAACGCATGGATTTAGAAGAGCTCACCCGCTAGACAAATTCAAAATCCACAACCACGCGATCGGCCGGTGCAACGGTCCAATCCACCGGCTCTCATCCCGATTCTGGGCACGGCAACACGCCTTGATTGCATCCTTTGCGTGATTCATCACCGGCGTCACCGTCCGCCGCCCGCACGGTGACCATTGGCTGAATCTGTTCCGGCTTCAGAGAGAAATATGGCGTACGATCACATCAGAGTTGGCGCGCTGACGACAAACCCCGGCGAGATTGGCAACGCGTGCCAGCCGAGTGCCCGACGTGCGCCGCTCCCCCGCCTCACCTCGATCTCGGTCTGCTGGTAGCGCAGCTCGCAGATCTGTCCACCGCCGCCGCTCTGGTACGTCTCCGTGACCGCGAACAGACTGCCGGGTCAGAGAGTGTCAGCGCCGCCGGGCACGCGGCGCCCACGGGTCGTCGCCAACCGGTACGGGTCGACTGGCGTCGGAAGGCGTCCCCAGACGGTGCCGGCTGGACCGACTGATGACGGGACAGGACCGGACAGGCCGCCGGCCAGCACGACCTAGCTCACTGCCCGCTGAGTAGGATGCATGTATTTACATAAGGATAGTGGCTTGCTGGCATTGCCTGGACACTTGGAACGGTGGCCGCTCTCCACACACGGCACCGTGTACGTTTTTGCATCATGCCTATAATACTCCGGGAAAAACCGACTAAAATACGTACTTCAACACGAAAAACATAATTTGGCAGCGACGAAGGTTGATCTCAGACGTGACGAAGTTATGAGGAGGTCGTAAGTATCGTCTTCTTTGAGTTCGTCTGCTCGCTATACCAATGTCAGTACTCCGTCAGGCACATCCCGGGCGCTCTCAGAGGTGCATCTGGGTAAAACTTCATTACTCGTAGGACGAAGAGTGAGCGCCGAGCTAGCTCCAAAGTCCCATCAGCGTGCTTCTTTAAAATAGAAACTAATTTTCTTTACGGCAGCCGTCCGTGGAGAGCGTCGCGGGCGCCATCCTCCCGCCCAAATCTCATTCCGGAAACAGGAGCCGTTTTTAGGCGCCTCCAATACGGCCACGGCGCGGGGCGTCGCCGCGGCTCCCAAGTGGCCATCGGGATTCCGGCTAGGGTTACGCGCCGGGTGCTCCGGTCCGCGGCGGAATAGCAAGCGAGCTGGCGGCCGCGGGGCGGGGGCGGGCTCGGGAGCAGCGTGGCGGCACGGGCGCCGCGTCGCCCGGGGCCCGTCAGCGACACGCTCTGTGCCCGGCGCGACGACCGTGGAGCCAGCATGGCGCGCTGGCCGTAATGGCCGCGAAATGGGCGATGGTCTGGCCGACGGTAATACGTCATTTTGTATTTCGTAAGGCAGCAACCCTGACTGGCTTCGACTATAAACGTCTGACCTTACATAAAGACAAGGCAACGAGAGCGCCGGCTTGCTCGAAGCCTCTCTGACCGGACAGCAGGCCACCGTCTCCGCTGCCACAGTTCGTCTAACTCATCTCCGCTCCGGCGAATCAGCGCACCCCATCCGTTACGCACCTGCCCAGGTCGTTGGGGTGTTTGTTGGTCTCGGGCAGGCGCACCTCCCAGCCGCGGATCTGGCTGAGCTTCGGATCCGGGATCTCGATGTCCAGCGGCTCCTCCGGCACCCAGACGCGGAAACTGAAACACGTCACGGCGTCAAAGCGCACGGCGCAGAGCAGTGCCCACTCGTCTGTAGGCAAGCCGTTGCAACCCAGCACAGACGCGAGTGGGCGTCCGCATGGTTCACACCGACACAGGCCACAGGGCCACAGCAAGCATCATGGTAATCGCAGATATGCCTGGTTCGCAACACAAAAAGCATCGGCGGGAACTTCAATAGCTGGGAAAGATACATACAGGAATAGCACGAGCGGCATTAGCATGGCCTGATCTGTCTGCCAGCTGATCTGTCAGCCGGACGTCACCACGGCCATCAGACCATCTTCTGAGCGGCCGCTTTTGGATCATAGAAACTGGTCCGGGCAAAACGGTGCGGATCAGGAGGTTATGCTGCTTGCATGGGATCAGGCATACACGATTCTATTCCGCGCGACTGGCATGACCACACAAAGGAACTGGCTGTTCTCGGCGTGGGGATGGAGCTGGCATAGAGACTGCAGTCATCTGACTTCAGATTAACGGGACTATCAGTCATGCTACGTCCCAGGACATAATGGCTTCATTGCGTCGCAACGACTGCGACTGAGTTAACTTCCAGATGTCTATGTGCGGTCACGCGTGATGCCATTGCCAGTGACGTCAGTGCGGCGTTCCCGAGCGTTACGCTGTTATGCCAGTAGCCCATTTGTCACCCGCGTAACGGAAGCAGAATTGTTTACGGATGGCATAACTTTTGGAATTATCGTCCTAGCCTGGTGTGTTGATATCCACACAAGGTCTTGGCAATTACATGGAAATTATCCGGATTGTGACGCTTACATGGCTGAAAGACAGGCGCTGTACAGAGCTTTGCCCAGTCTCACATAACACCTGACGACGGCCAGAGAACTGACTGGCCGAAACGTTGCAAACGCGGTAACACATCACACGAAGACGAGAGACCGAACGCCAATTCCGTCCCTTATAGTAGCACGTCGTCTCAATCCTTCTGTAAACGTGTAAAATATTTAATGGAAATGTTAATCCTTTTCCATTTTAGGACGAAGCGCGAGAAAAGCAAACAAACAGCAGCGCAGCTCATTCTTGGGCAACGGCTGTTGCTTGTTATTCAGTTGCGTTTTTTTTTTTACCCCGACGCCACCTAAGTTCATCATAATATAAGCAACCCGCTTCCCAACACATTGTCGTGTTTTCTGCTGTCGCTACCGTTGACTTATGACTGCGCTACCAAAAGAACATGGTCGATCAGCTTTACCCCACATCTATCAGTGCCATCTTCGGTAGCTCTCAGGAAAATAGGCTGCATTGTATGCGCTGGACGAGTTAGAGTACGCAGCATAACAGTACGCCTCTTGGTCACCCAAAATACACGTCAAGCAATTCCTTTTGATTAGATATCGCACAAAAGGCTGATAAAGACTGCAAACAGTAATAACTTACTCTAAACGTGGCAGAGACGGTAAATCTTAAAGGAACCTAACCAATCAGTTTGCACGGACAAACGCGCTGGTTTCGGGCGCAACGGCGAAGCCTTAGAGTTGACGGCATGACGGCCAATACAGCTTATCTTTAGTCCCGCAGCCCTTGGTCCTCGTTTCCGCTAGATTACAATGTTGTAGATAGCGTATTCCAATTGAAATAGTATAGCGTAACCTTTCGCACAACTTATGATGGGACCAATTTGGTCACGCAGTCTAGTGAACAAATACTTTAGCGATCTTTGCGGTCGGATGTGGTAAAATCAAAGCATAACGTGTTAAAGAAAATGTGTTCTCTGAAAGAGGTCAGTGGGACTTCCGTCGAAGCATTTCTTCAAAACATTTCCATCACACAACACACATTCCACAGCGCCAATATCAGCTACTGACGTAGGGTATGGGGAAAACTGGCCATGCAGTCTGGTTGCGTGTTGCAGCAGTTCGATTTCAGCTTCAAAGGTGGCGTTCTTCCTTTAACTCACGCAACACGCAGCCGCCCGAGTGACCATCGGGTCATCAAAACTAATCTCCGTTACCGTCGTCCCTCCGAACCGGTGTGGCGACGCCGCTGCTCACCTCGCCGAGCCGTGGTAGGAGCCGTAGTTGACGATGACGGTGGCGTTCTGGCTGCCGCGCGCCTCCGAGCCATCCAGGTAGACGGACGTGCACGAAGATGACACCTGCGGGCACGCCGTCGCCACCGTCAGCGGGACAGCGCCGGGGGACTGGCTGCGCTGCGCGACACGCACCGAAAGATGACACCTGCGGACACGCCGTCGCCACCGTCAGCGGGACAGCGCCGGGGGACTGGCTGCGCTGCGCGACACGCACCGGAAGATGACACCTGCGGACACGCCGTCGCCACCGTCAGCGAGACAGCGCCGGGGGACTGGCTGCGCTGCGCGACACGCACCGCAAGCCCGGCCGCTGGGCGCCGCGCCGGCGGAGAATGCAGACGAGCGAACCGACGGCGCGATGAATAACGCACGACCGGCGGTCATTAGTGGAGTAGACGCGCACATCGACCGCGCGGCCGGAGCGGCCGGAGCGGCCGGAGCGTGGTGCCCTGCAGTCGTCTGCGGGGCGCGCCGACCGCCGGCCGGCACGTCAGTGCTGACCGCCGGTCAGCGCCCGCCAGCGTCGGTCCGCTAGCACCGACCGCTAGCCGGCCCACCAGCGCCGACCGCCGGCCGGCCCGCAAGCGCCGACCGACGGCCGGTCCGTCAGCGCCGACCGACGGCCAGCGTTCGCCAGCGTAGGTCCGCCGGCACTGACCGTCGGCCGGTCCGCCGGCACCGACCGTCGGCCGGCCCGTCAGCGCCGATCGCCGGCCGGCCCGCCAGCGCCGACCGCCGGCCGGCTCCCGTCAACCCCGCAGCGCCAGCAGCCGGTCCCCGCGGTGCCCGGGCCGGTGCAGCCGCGCGGCACCGGCGTGCCGCTCCGCTGCGCGTACCCCACGCTCGTCATTCACGCCGCGCGCCGCGTGGCGCAGCGGCGCTCGCGGTCGGCGCGTCGTGTTTTGCCGGCGGCGGCTGACCCGGCGCCGGCCGGGCCTCAGCTGGTTTTGGCTGCAGTGCGGCAGCCAGCCGGCCCGCCGGGGCCCGTGTCGGCCTCAATGGCGGGCGGCGCGACACGTGGTGGCCCGATGCGCCCGCGGCGGCGCCGCTTAGACCCGCAGCTGGATCGAATCGGAACACGTTGCGCGGACCGCCCCCGGTCTGGCCGGTGGGAGCATCAGCCGCACTTTATGCTCTCTTGTAAAGGTAATTGTGACTAATATCAACAATTTTAGTGGCGGGCTTATTTCACCGAACCCGTTGCACGGCAAAATGGCCTATTTGTTGAGTCTGCATCAAGACCACGGCGGCCTCCCGTTGCGTTATTCGTTGCACCTTGAACGAAAATCCCTCAATGTTGACAGAGCTCTTAAAATCGCCATTCGTGACACGCTCTAATCCTGGCAGCGTACATCAAAGCAGACGCCACCCGTGACTTTCTGTATCCTGTAGACGCATCACGATCAGGGACTACCACCTGTCGACAGCCATGTTAACCTGATCGGGGACTACCACCTGCCGACAGCCATGTTCACCTGATCAGGGACTACCACCTGTCGACAGCCATGTTCACCTGATCAGGGACTACCACCTGTCGACAGCCATGTTAACCTGTCTGTGTCGCACACAATATGGCGCATCTGTTGAAAGTGGCACAGCATCTGTCCTTCTCCTCGAAGTCGTCACCTGTTCCGATGCAAACGGACTCCTGGCACTCGCCGTCCGCTGGTGTTTTGGCAAAAATTGACAACCGATCCGTCGTCTGCTCTTTACAACTTGTCTTGGATCGCTCAACATTTTCCTCACGGCTGGCCCAGCAGATGCGGCAGACGACACCAAATCTAACTGTGTCGAATCCTCTTGCATGTTCACATACAACTTCATGGTGTTATTTCAAGCCACGTAGCATGATTTTCCCTCACGGCTCAAATCAGGTCACGTGAGGTTATCGGGCTATTTGTTTGGCCATCGACATAAATTCGCTCTCAAATTGCCACGGGAAAGGGTATACGACACGGTGATGTGATTCTAACCCATACCAGCGAGCTGCGCTATAATTAAAGTGCAGTACTTCTGGTAGAAAAGCTAACGGTTTCAGTTCAGAGTCGTTACACATTGCTCTTCCGTTTGGTTGACATTTCTGTGTCATTCAATACTAGAGTAACCCAACTTATTGTTAGGAAAACTTGTAAATATTGCCCAACCACTTTGTTAGTTGGCAATGCGTTTCCTCGGCCGGGCTTTGCGGGCACTGTGGCCAAAACACCGGAGGGAGTTAAAACTTGAAGCCCTACGCCGTGGCTGGAAAGACTTGAGCACTCAAGACTCATGACTGGCTCAAGTCCGGAGAGCATCGTTACGCTGAACAAAAAGGAGGGAGACGAGATACTTCTAACTCCCCACATCCTTCCCAAGACCCCGCGGATTTCCACCCAACTCGTCGTCCGCCCGTCGCGCCGTTCCTATCCTGACAGTCTCCCAGTCTGCCGTGTCGAGCTGGCCGAGTCCGTCGGTTACTTCGGGGAGGCTGGGGGAGGCCTCCCTGCCGCTTCCTGCGAGACAGGCGCCGCTCGCTCTGCAGCGCACCACGCCGCCGCCAGGCACGTCCTCTGGGCAGGTAATGCTACCGCCGGCGCGCGGAAATCCCATCCAGTCACGCACCGTGGGGGGACGGATGGCATCCCGCACAGCCAATCAGAAGTAACGGAGCGCTGCCCACAGACGAAGCTTAGCAAGCCACGGGCCTCGTTCGCCGCGGACCAGAGCTGGAGGTATCGTCGAAAACCGGCAGTAAGGCTCCCACATATGCTACCCGGCGAGAGGTCTTTATTACAAATATGATTTTTGTGTGTTTGTGAAAGGTGCTATTTATACCTGGTCGAAACGATAGTCGGAGGCATTACATGAAAGTTGTTTGCTTTTTGTGACAGTTATTGTGCCAAGGCCTTCGAGTGTTCCAAACTTTCGCGCGGCAAAATTCGTCACGATTTCCTACACTTATCGCAGGTGGGTGGTACAAAGTTCCGCGGCTAGCGGGGGAAGGACACAGCAAGAGCTCTCACAGAATCCAAAAGATCAGGCGAAAGAGAATTATACGACGCACCAACTCAAGCGTGACTTCAAATATCAGGCAAATAAGATAACTTCAGTGTCGTGCTCGTTTCATGTAGTTCGCTATAGGTCGTCCACGGCACCTTCATGTTCACCAATTCGGAACAGTTACAAAATGCCAAGCTAAGGCTCAAGAATTAAACATCACTGCACGGCCGCTTAGCAAAACTCCCTTCCACGTATGTAGTTTAATAACATTCGGCAAGCTATTACACTTGTCACTGTAAATCATTTTTTGTTAAAAAACTTTTATTGTCACGCGCACCGCAGCCGCCTACATGCCTGGATGACCGCATGGATCCCAAGAAGCCTGGCTCATGCCCCTACTGACGTCATCCGAACGGTGGCTTCTGCCTCCTGTTTTTCTGGCATTAGTAAATACCCATCGTTGACAACTAGCTCTCCAATACAGGCCGTTAGCAATGCAGGACCAAAATGTCGTACCTCTGGTTGGCGCGACCGCCGCCGGTGCCAAACCACGGCAAATACGAACCAGGGCATACTGTACATGTGAAACTTCAAGCTTCGAGGCTTCGAGAGCCAGTGAATTCACCTCATGCACAGAGGTGACTCGAGAGCCAGTGAATCCACCTCATGCACAGAGGTGGCAAATCATGACGCGCAGTTACGTGGACCGTCGGAAGCGTCCGCCACCACATGTCTTTAGGTTCCTGGAAGTCATACCTATAAGTTCCGGAAAGTTCTGTCATCTAGCATTCTCTGAAAGGATTATGCGGAGTACAGCATTCATAGAGCCATGCGTCCGCCTGCGTCCAAGAACCGGAGTCTGAGTCCGAGTTCTGGTCTCTTGAGCGTGGGTCTGAGTACCGGATCTACCCTCGTGAAATAACGGGGTCCGAGCCCGTATCTGATTACTTTCGCTGGCAATGTCTTGGCACGATTTTACGGAGGATGGTAAGACAAGTGCGTTGCTGCTATATACATCAAATGACTCAACCCGTAAGAGGGTCGGTTCGTATTCGCCAAGTTGAGATGCAGTCACGGGGTTTTTATGCAGCTGCTTTCGTCTACATTTGTTGGTATTTCCTGATCTCAGCCAGTCGGCAGAGTCAGCAAAGTTCACTCGGCCTGGTGATATTCGCCCGGCCCGTAACACGGCTTCCAATCAGAGAGCGTTACTATTTGTGATGGGTCGAGCAATGACAAAACGGCCCAGTCTTTAGTTTACACCTACGGAATTTACTCACAACACTGCAGGCCTGGAATCGATGCCATTTTCAGGTGACTTAAACTTGCACTGACTTCAAATGGTTTCCACGACTGCATTATTCTCTTACAGTTAAACATAACTGATATTTATGATCACATGTGCATTTCGTGCCGGTTGATCTAACAATCATTTACCGTTTTGCACATTAGGCACTTTGACGGTCGGCCTTTGGCCCCGTGGTTCAGTCGGATCCCGGGGTAACCGAGATTCTCCCTCTTGAGGCAATTGGCTTCCAACATCGCCGCGGAACATCGCCTATCACACACCGGCTGTGAACCACGATTTTCCCTGACTAATTGTCACATGGCTACATTTGCCACATGGCCTAAACCAGTTTCGGCACGCACCGTCTAGCTCAAACAAAGGAGCCGCCAATTTCAGCCAATTACAGTAAAAAGGTGTGTAGCGCTGTGCTCTCCCACGCCATGAGGTTTTAATCATGGACTGGGCTTCAGACGGAACCTATGAGCAAGAAGTGTCGACAGAGGCGACGCGCAGGACGACAGACCTTACGTCACACCGTATTCTGGTCAGAATGCAGGATGCCAAAAACAAAACGGTTTGGCACCGCAGAAATATGTAAAAAAGACGACCGAAAAACACACCCGGACTACGACTGCCGCCAGTCGAAACGTGAAAAAGACGACCGAAAAACACAGGCGGTTTGCGACTGCCGCCAGTCGAAACGCGAAAACCAGACGCGAAACTTGGGTGACGTCCTAGTTGTCGGAGGTCGGCAGGCCGTACGACATGAACAGTAGCCTGCAGAGCAAACATTGGTGGGACCCTAAGCCACCGCTCGTCAGCTGCAAGATATTCGGTTCTTGCATGCAGTGCTTTTAACTGGCAACTTAGTGCGTGTGCATTGCTGGGACTGCGTCCACCAAAAAAGTCCTCAACTTGTTTTCAGAACAAGCAGAAAACGTTATTCCATGCACCAGTTCTGACGCTAAGGAAGCGCCAGCAACCTTAATATTGTTAATAGTGAGCTCTGCTTTCGACGTAACGTTATGAACGGATACGCTATCATAAATCTGAGCACCACTACGGCGTGTTTGCCCCCAGATGGTACTGTCATAGCCAAAGCATTGTACGATTGTTGCACCATAAAAGGCAAAGTCCTGGAAAACAGGAAAGAGCGCAAATAAATCAGGAGAACGCGTCACAACGATCTTTTAAACTATGCAATCCAAGGCACGATTTTTCGGTTGGCTCTGTCCACGTGCAGGGCACGTCGCTGTTGGCGTTACCTGTCGACTGCACCCACCTTGAGCACGCTCTCGTCGGTGGACTTGCAGGAGGACTTGAGCGTGACGTCAGCTACGTCTCCCGACTGCGTGACCATGAAGACCCGCAGCGGCTCAGTGACCTGCGCCCCGGTCAGCATGGCCGTGTTTACCAGGTCCGTGGTCTGGAACAGAGCGTGACCCGCTGAGCGCGTGCTCAGGCGGGACGCGGGCCTGATGGTCGCAAGCCTGGTTGAGGCGCGTCCCGGCCGCCCCGTCTCATTAGGCGGGCGAGCCGCCGTCGCTAGCAGCAGCAGAACGGGGTAGTTGGAATTGGAACTGCTAAAGTTCAGAGCATGACGGAGTGGAGGAAAAATAACCAACTGCCGGAACAATACGCAATTTAGCTCGGAGTCCAAAGTTTAGCACTCCTCAGCGGCAAACCGAAGCGGTTACAACCGGCGGGGTCCGGCCGCCGTGCCGCGGCGGCCGGACCTGGCGTGCTGCCCGGCCGCACGCCACGTCTTGCGGCGTGTCAGCCAGCGCGCGCGCGCGCACGAGCGCGCAGACATACCTTGGCCATGGGCAGTACGATCTGCGTGTCGTCCTTCTGTAGGTTAAGCTGGGTGATAATCTTGCGGCGTGTCTTGCGCCGCGCCTCCTTGGGCTCGTCGCCAGCCGACAAGGCGGCCGGCAGGTACTGGATCCGCCATATGACCTTGCCGCCCTCACGCAGCTCCGGATGCTCGTCCACTTGCAGCATCAGCGTAAACACCTCGTACGCCCTGCGGAAGAGGTGGCGAAAGGGCGTTGTTACAAATGGTTGGCTTGTGCCGTTCGGCGCTCTATAAAGGCCCAGAAACATTCTTGCAGACGCAGGTTTTTACGTCAAAATCTATGATTACGAGAAAGCACGAATAATGTATAATTATTTCTGTCAGACCCTGGCAGCCGCATTTGCCTTTCTCAGCGGCACTGCATCCGTGCTATTGTTAACAGTTCTGAACGGGCACAGGCAGAGGCATGCAGCATTGAGCCTATCTCACACTTCATCTCGAATGCTGCTCCACCGCACGCCGCTGTGAATACGTGATGTCATCCATCGGTCGGCCCGCTTCGCGACCGGCGCGGCGCCGGCCTGGACGCCCCAGCGGGGTCGGTGCGGCGCCCAGCGAGCAGCGGCTTCACAAAAACGCCGCCTCAGCAGCTCGGCCCGGATTACGACCGTTCAGAGGCGGCGCGACCGATCAAGATTGAGCGATCGCGCCCGGCCGCGCCGGGCGTCCCGCCGCGCCGCGCTGCCGCCGCGCCGCGGCCAGCACGGCGTACCCGTGCGCCGCGCGCACGTGCTGAATCGATGGCGACGCGGGCGCCTGCCGTATCGCCGCCGCCGCCGCCGCCGGGTGCGCTGAATGCGAGGCCCGCTTGGGGAGCGAGTGGACGCTCCAGCTCGAGTGCATGAGTGAACCACAACAATGGCGCGGCTTCATAGCCCGGACACAGTGGTTTATTTCGTGTGGGCACGGCGGGCCGGAGTGTTTCATCCCTTTGTGCGTGGCGTTTGGCGGGGAGCGAACGGGACAGACGGCCGCCCGATTCATCACGCCGCACAAACAACGAGTGCACCGGCTCCATCCGGCCGCCGGCTCCGCCACCGCCGCACACGACGACAAAGCCGGCGCAGCAAGCCTCCGATTGTTATCGCGCGTCTGCTGTGTACGTATAGCTCCACTGGGGCGAGGGTGAGAGCGGCAGGCAGAGCCCAAGCCCGAGCCTAGCGCGCCTATTTGCTTCGTCTTTCGATATGGCGCGCGAGCGCAGCGCATGATCGTAAAACCGCGCCAAAGGGCGCCTCCCGGGCAGAGGCACATCAAGCGGTAATCCAGCGTCTGTCAGCATCCCCACCGACACCGGCGGCCCGGCCTCCTCAGCTTCTAGTACCCATGTGCGGCCAGCCGACGACAGGCCGCCACTGACAGTACAATGGTTAGCGTGCATGGAGCCGTCGGCTGTGATTATGATGGGAGGGGCTGACTGTCGGCAGTGGTTATGATGGTTCGCGATGACTGCCAGCAGTGGTTATGCTTGGAGGCGATAATTATCAGCAGTGGTTATGATGTGAGGCGATAAATGTCGGTAGTGGTTATGATGGGAGGTGGGCAGCGGTTATGGCGGGAGGCGATGACTACCAGCAGTGGTTATGATGGGAGGTGATGACTGTCAGCGAGGGTTATGACGGGAGGTGAGGACTGTTGACAATGGTTATGATATGGGGCGCTGGCTGTCGGCAGTGTTATGATGGGATGGGATGACTGTTGGCAGTGGTTATGATGGAAGGGAAGGACCGTTGACAGTGGTTACGATAGAAAGCACTGACTGTCGGCAATAGTTGTGACAGAAGGCACCATCTGCCGGCAGTGGTTATGATAGCAGGCGATGACCGCAAGCAGTCGTTATGATAGCAGGTACTGACCGTCGGCAGCGATTATGATGGGAGGTGCGGACTTTCGGCAGTGATTATAATGGAAGGCACTGGCTGTCGACAGTGGTTATGGAGGGGGGTACTAACCGTCGACAGTGGTTATGGAAGGAGGTTCTGATTGTCAGTGGTGGTTGTGGTGACCGTACAGACCCGCCGGTGTGGTAATTGGTGGAAGGTTGTGGTTGTGATGGGAGGTACCGACCTGTCAGCCGCCCTTTTTGGAAGTTAGATACCGACTATCCGGTGGTAGTTTGGCAGGAGATGGTGATGGCATTGGGTGGTACTGTGCTGATCCTGAGCAATGACCTGTCAGCGGTGGTTACGCTCCGGGCTGGTGACCGTGGTGGCAGGCTTCTGCCGTGCCTGACCCGTCAGCAGCAGTTACACTTCGAGCTGGCGACCGTGTTGGCAGGTTCTGCCGTGACTGACCCGTCAGCAGCAGTCACACTCCGAGCTGGTGACCATGTCGGCAGGTTCTGCCGTGACTGACCCGTCAGCGGTGGTTACGCTCCAGGCTGGTGACCGCGTCACTGCCGGGCACTGACCCGTCGGCGGTAGCTGCGTCGCCGGTGGGCAGCGGCGGTGGCGGCCCCTGCCGCCCGCTGCCGGAGGCCGTGACGGTGACGGCGCCGCGCCGCTTGCTCGACGTCACGCTGATGTTCCAGCGGTCGGAGGCCAGTTCGGCGCCCACCACCTGCAGGCCCTGCCGCACGCGCGCTCTGCAACACGGCGGTGGTCGTTAGACACGCGTGTGCGTGTCGCCTTCCCTCCTGCGGCTCTGGCTCGGGCACTGCGGCCGGGCGCAGAGGCGGGCACAGGCGGGCAAAGGGGCGGGACAAGATGCGGCCAGTGAACAGGGATTTCAACCGAGCGGATACAGATGAAATGAAGATGGGAAGAAGAGTGGAAAGAGAGAGGGAGGGAGAAAAGAGAGAGAGAGAGAGAGAGAGAGAGATAGAGAGAGAGAGAGAGAGAGAGACGGAGCAAGCGAGGAGTGACAAAATGAAATAAATAGAATAATATAAAATGGAGAAAAATAGAGAAATGAGATGAAAGAAAAAGAGAGGAAATGAGAAAGCGAGAAGAAAAAAGGGAGGAAGAGAAAGACAGAGGGGAGAGTAAGGGAGAGGGAGAGGGAGAGGAAGCGAGAGAGAGGGAGAGGGAGAAGACAAAAAGAGTGACCCCTCGGGAAGACGTCGATTAGATCAAGGGAAAAAGTAAAGGAGGATACTGCGTGCAATCGTTTCCACAGGAGTTGAGCCGAGCTTAAACACGTAACTGGTACCAGGCGCTTGATAAGGTCGCACGAATAGAACAAGTTTTTGCGTGCCGACTATCGCACCCCTCTGCAGGCTAATTAGGCGATTCCCAGCGACAGATTAGACAGACGTTACGCAGAATGAGGCAGCGTTGTGTAAAGGTGCAGCTGAGTGGCAAGAACGTGTTATCTTTCCGATGACCTACTTTGCAAACGATATGACGAAGCATAAGTGGATTGAGTAATGTTGAACGTCACGTTTCACTTGCTGATAAGACATAATCACCCACCATTCTCCCCGAATAATTACCCGCCCACCAGCTTCAACAGAGCAATTCTGAGCCGAGGAGGCACCGGTTCAGATGGCGTCACACCTTGTTACCGGATGAAGCTGCTCTGTCATGGCGTGTGAAGCTAGGATAACGAAGAGTGGCTTCAGGTCAGATCGACCATCACTAGGTGAGAAGCAGTGACATGATTGTGCTTGAGAACATAGATGGGACTGGGCGGACTTCGCTACGGCTTATAGTCCAGGTAAACATACTTACCTGATAAGCATTGTTTCGCTAGCATGCATGTCACTTGGTGAGCCAATAACTATGTATTTTTGCCTCGGGCTTCTTTAGTTGAATTAATATGTGTATCACCAACCAACGGACGTTATTCATCAATGTGTGCTGGCCGGTGAAATGTAGTCACTGCTATCATAGCGCCGTTAATGTAGCGTAATAAGTCAAAAGAGCATAGACTTATTTCTTCCTGAGGAGAACCGCCCATCACCAAATCTCGACTAATTTGCCAACATCTTGGGCCAGAAATGGTTGACGATCTCCATGCGTCGCAGCAGTGTGCTTCTGGTAT